TTACTTCCTATTACATGAAAGTTAACTGTAATCCGAGATTGATTTAAAGGGAGCTTAAAACGGCCATGACTGTGTCTGGAGTTTTACTGAGATCCGTTGAAGATAAAGAAATATTTACGTAACTGTATTTTTACTACATTATTAATAAGTATACCTTAATAAATGGCAACACTCCCAAATTCCCCAACCCCCCCACAAAAAAAAGGCGGTTTTTTTTTTTTCTTTTTCCCCCACCCTTTTTTAAAACCCCCCGCGGGGAAGGGGGGTGGGAAAAAAACCCCCCGGGGGTCCCCGGGGGAACCCCCCTTTAAAAAAAAAACCCCCCCCTTTTTCAACACAAAATTTTTTTTTTTTTTTTTTTTTTTTTTTTTTTTTCCCCCCCCGGGGGGGGGGGGGGGGGGGCGCCGCCGGGGGGGGGGGGGGGGGGGGGGGGGGGGGGGGGGGGGGGGGGGGCCCCCCCCCCCCCCCCCCCCCCCCCCCGGGGGGGGGGGGGGGGGGGGGCGGGGGGGGGGGCGGCGCCCGCCCCCCCCGCCCCGCGGTTTCCCCCCCCCTTTTTTTTTTTTTTTTTTTTTTCCCTTTTTTTTTTTTTTTTTTTTATAATAAAAAAAAAATAAATTTATTTTTTTTCCCCCCCCCCCTTTTTTTTTTTTTTTTCCCCCCCCCCCCCCCCCCCCCCCCCCCCCCCCCCCCCCCCCCCCCCCCCCCCCACCCCCCCCCCCCCCCCCCCCCCCCCCCCCCCCCCCCCCCCCCCCCCCCCCCCCCCCCCCCCCCCCCCCCCCCCCCCCCCCCCCCCCCCCCCCCCCCCCCCCCCCCCCCCCCCCCCCCCCCCCCCCCCCCCCCCCCACCCCCCCCACCCCCCCCCCCCCCCCCCCCCCCACCCCCCCCCCCTTTTTTTTCTCTTTTTCTCTTTTTTTTTTTTTTTTTTTTTTTCTTTTTTTCTTTTTTTTTTCCCCCCCCCCCCCCCCCCCCCCCCCCAAAATTTTTTTTTTTTTTTTTTTTTTTTTTTTTTTTTTTTTTTTTTTTTTTTTTTTTTTTTCTCCCCCCCCCCCCCCCCCCCCCCCCCCCCCCCCCCCCCCCCCCCCCCCCCCCCCCCCCCCCCCCCCCCCCCCCCCCCCCCCCCCCCCCCCCCCCCCCCCCCCCCCCCCCCCCCCCCCCCCCCCCTTTTTTTTTTTCCCCTTCTTCCCCCTGGTGGGCGGAATATCGGTGATAACTGAAAGTTGTTCAGCAGACTTTGTATTACTTTTAAGTGTCATATACTAAATATTAGTACTATACTTTAAATAATAGTGTTTTTAAATGAACGAAACAATTGATAATTTCTTAAATCTCAATGATTTTGTGTTTTCATAATACTTTTATTTCAATGCGCATTTAATTTTACTTCCATATGTCTACTTTTAGCAATATTATTTAAATACATAATATTTTAGTTTAAGTTATTATTATTGATTAGACGGTAAGCCTCTTTGAAATAAATAAATAAAAATAGTCTAAGGAGGGGTAGTTTTTTATTTATTCTCATTATTTGTGTGTAATGAATCAAACAAAAAATATTTTTTATTTAAAATTTAATGCGATATTAAAAAATCACTAGTTATCTACTATCACTAGTGAATGCTAGTCAACAGTGTTGCCTAGCATTGGGTTAAGCGAGAGGTCCTGGGTCCGTATCCCAGGAAAACAATAGATTGTTTTAATTAAAATAATGTTGTAATTATACTCTTTAAATTTTAGTAACCGAAGTAAGGCCCAGCACTATGTAATTATTAGATTATATACAGATGAACAGTTAAGTAACGAATCGCGTAGGAAGATTTTGCAGGTAATTCAACTCTGAACCAGTTACAAGATAACTAACGTCAAAACAATGAGAATTTACTAACTGAATAAGCATAATGTTATGCAAAGGCAGGAAGTTGAACGTGTTAGAATAAATTGCATTAATGTGTATTAATTGTGTAATAAGAGAACGGGTATTAACTTTTATTCTGCTAATATTAGTGACTCTTTACGGACAACACGAATATGTGATAAAAAATGTATCTTACTTATTCAATTATAACAAAGACACAAACGTGAGGACACATTTGTGCGTTTTTGTTATCAGATCAGGTTGTTCCACATCAACACAATACACCGACTGTAGCGAGTTCGACTTCCATCTGTGTCAAACTAAATAACCTATAAAATAGGAACTTTTTACAGTTGCTAATTCACAAGATCATTTACTATTAGTTTATTAATTATTATCTTACTTAACAGCTGTGTATGTTTTACGCGATAATTACCTACAAATTTAAATAAAACACTTTTAAAATTCGCAAAATATTACTTTCATCATGATTACGGCTGCTGGAAAGCATCTTAAACGTCGGGTCGTAGGAAAATTAAAAATACGTTAACTTATGTGTTTCGAGTTTTAAACTGTTGTAAATGTTTTATTTAAACCTATTACCTCTAGAACGGGTTAAGTAAACGGGAGAAAGGACAGGATATTTCAAAGACAATTGCACGAGGGCGTATTTATTAAACCCGTGACCTACGGTAATACGTTTCAGATCATTATAACTGAACATTATGAAGCATTAATATTAACAGGCAACGTCGTGTGTAGGCGCAACTGTTTTTACATAAGCCATTATAAGGCTAATGCACTCAACTACATTAATAAATATTGATCTTGGACTTTGGTGCGCGATATAACGTTCTGATTTCAACCATTGACTACACATATACTATTAAAAGAAAGACTTTTTTTATTTAAGGAAACAGTAAATTGTAAAATATTATGCAAACAATATATATTTACTAATTTATATACAACTTGCGATATAACTTGTTCGAACTTTAACATACCTAAATACTTTATTACTCCAAGAATTTTACTTTATTAATATTAGAATTATTAATATTTTAAATACTAAAGAAACTTTACGCATTAAAGCTTCACTAGAGGGCGTGTTTTGGAAAAATCATGACGTAGAAGTCCCTTTAGTAAAGCAACGGCGCAGTGCGCTATTAGTTGTAATTTTGTACAAGAACATTGTCTAGTAAAGTTTGAAATTAGAAACTGATTTGAGTCGTAAAACGGCAATTACAAAGCGAGTAGCAATCAAAGCCGCGATAAAATCCTCATGCCGCCGCACTACCGTTACGGTCTCGTGCCGACACACCATTCGCCGTTCGACAGTTGTAATTGCAATAAATACGAGACAAAACCGATATTCTGTTTCAAATACACAGTTGACGCACGCACAGTGGTACTTATAAATAAAGTGGGATGACACTGGGGTAACACAAACAGTTGAACGATTGATTATTTCGGATAAGTATTAAAATTACCATTATGTTACAGTTGTTTTCAATGATCAACAACCGGTTGAACTCCTGATTATTACTAAATATTAATTTTTCGTATATATTGTGTAATTGGGATGACAGTAACATAAAGTGGAATAAAAAAATGTATTTTTATTCATTTTCCAAACGTATGTCGCAAAAAAGCTGAATTTTTCATAACTGCCACTCGGAGTAAACTGTGATAGTTTTGATGAATGGCAACAAATGCTCAATACAACAATAGCGCAAGTGAACTGACAACCCTTTTAGTAGGTCAATTTCTAATTGAATATTCTATATGATAAGAGGTTTAATTAACTATTGTTCTTAATTCTAGTGCGGAATGAAATACCTGTCAGTTCATAGAAACAGACATTTTATACTTACAATTTGTACATAATGTTATTTATTAAAAATTAGTTAAGAAGTTCATATAAACCGAAACCTAACTTAGCAAACCATTTTTTTTCATATGAAGTATTTGAACCATAAAAACAGTTCTCGTTATTTGTTAGTTGTACGGTCGCAGAAAATTTCTTAGACTTTTTTAAAATTATGTATAAATATATAAATATATTTATACATAATTTTTGGATATGATACCCGAGGAGATAAATAACCTATTTTCCGTTTTTTTTTTATATTTTGTTTTTATGTTCCACTACGTCGCAGGGCTTGGGGCTTTATAGCCTTTATCGAAGTAGGCTATAAGAATTTAGAATACACAAATATTTTTTCCATTCGAACCTGTAGATTCTGAGATAAATGCGTTAAAACAAACAAATTATTCAGCTTTATACCATAAGTGAATGTATAGATTACTTTTTTCGTCGTTCCGTCGATTTTAACTCACATTCTATTACCTAAGGCCGATCTTCATAGTTTGCAACAAGGATGGGTTATGGTTATTCCCATATAGGCAAAAAATATTTCCACATACAATATCCGTCAGTCGAAATTCGGTCAAAAGGATTCCATCACGATCTAAAATCCGGCAGCTGATTACGTTTTTAGGCCAAGGTCCGACCCGCCCTGTCTGCTCCGTAGGGCTAATAACTTCCCATGATTTATAATTCCCATAAGATACAGTAAAACAAAATTTACAGCTAATCTGTATATGGCCATTATCCCTATGTATTATTGTTTTGTATACTCTATATTTTACTTTTAAATCCTTCAGTAGTGTCTGCAGTTTACGCAAGTTTCAATTCAATAAAAAACCCGTTTAAAACTTTGGTCAGCTTATTTTCAACTACGACGCCGCATTTCGGAAGCTTACAAAAATGACAAATATGAAGAAGTTGATAAATTGACTTTTGATCAAAACTGTAAGCAGGTATATTTCGCGTTTAAAAACGTTAAAATCGTTATATTACGAAATATTTTTTGTGCGATATTGTATTTTATAAAGATGCACAAACTGAAATTAACTATTATATGGGTCATGGGGCCGATACATATTTGTGTAAATTGTACTTTAATTTTCTTTACAGACGAGTATCCACCAGGATTCAGGACCCTTGCTTTGCCATGCAACAACAGCATCACGAGCAATGAATACGTCAAGAATCTTCGAGCACAGTTAACATGTTTGCAACACGTATGAGTCAATCGTGGAAGCATCACGATTGCGCACCACACGGTTTTGGCGCCATCATATATCATTGTTTGCGCGGCCCATGACTCAAGAGACTATCACTTTCGTATCCACATAATATCGCTGCGTCACCGTTCTGATTATTATTTATTGGCCTGAATAGGGATGGCTTAAAGTCGGCTTAGAAAGCCCAATTTTACTAATGTATCCGTCGTAATTTATTCTTATATTAAATTTTAAAAAAAATATCACTACAATGCACAACGCCCCTATGTATCACTTTATGTTTAAACATACTTCGTTTATTGAATTAAGTACCCAATATCGTTTATGACGTATACGAGAACCGAAATTCGGTTTCGGTTCGAAATGGCATCCCTATTAAGTAATGAATTGCATTTGTAAATGTCGTTGCTGACGTCAGAATTAAAACAATAAGATGTTTTGATTTGTATACCGCGAATTTAGCTCAACAGGCTTTTCCTTGAAACCTCTTTTCCAGAATTTAATGTCGCATTGTTTCAACTAAGGCAACATTTTTACACAATGACAAAGTAACAAAACAAAAGTGAGACAAACCAAAATAAAACAAAAATATAAAAATGTGTAATACATATCATCATAAAAAATAATAGATAGGTACATAAATTTCAAATTTTACTGAAAATAAATGTTTAGGTTACGGGAGGGGAGTAGTACATGAGTAAAAACCACACTTTATCCATTTAAAAACGAGAAACATCTTATGTACCTTATTTTTTAAGTAAGCTAATTTTTTGTTTCTCCTCGTGACGTCACTACGACAAACGCCCAAAACGCCCGCTTGTGGTTAAGAAACTTTAAAAAAAGGACACTACTAATCAAAATGCACAGACCACTTTCACTACGACTCTTAGATTACTATTTTCACGTATAGAATGAAACGTTAAGAATGGGTAAATAACAGTAAGAATCCGTGAGGTGTAAATATATAGTCTAAAACCAAAGCTGTATCATTAACGATGTAATAATGTAAACGCGCGTGTTTGTGGAGACGTCATGTTGCTTTACAGTTCCTTACGGTTTGTAGAGGAATGTCAGTGTTAAGTAAAAACTTGAACGTCCAAGATTTCATTTACATAGCAGTAGGCTTTATAAATAAAATCTAGTTAGATAGCTCTCATTCTTAGTCACTTAAACCTCATTGCAATTTCATAGGCGAAAATCAATACATTACAGCTTGTTTTACATATCCAAAGTCGACACCGTATCTTGTGTAGATGATATATGGGTGGGTCTTATTCTGTGATTAAAAATACCTAAAACAAAAAAAAAAATTTGGCCCTTACCTGAGGGTTTCTTGGTGGCTGCGGAAGCCGCATAACCGGGTGTACGGGTGCTGGCATTCTCGTTGGCGGTGGCATATACTGCCTAGGAGCCGGCGGTAGTGGAGGAGCTGGTCTGGGCCCGTGTAAGACCGTCACTGATGGAACCAAGGGCGCTGGAGGTCTGCGATCCATTGCCCGTTCAGCCATGGCCTGTTCGACCATAGCCAGATGTTCTGAAGGGCGGATGAGACGGGGAGGGGCAGAACGGGGCTTCGGTTCGGGGCGAATGCTTAGCCGGGGCGGCGGCGCCGGCGGCACTCCACGACCCCGTCGCGCCGCCTCCGATTCGTCTGTCATCGGTGCGCGCCAATCTAGAAAGAGCAAAATATTATCAACTTTTGATAGTTAACATCATGTATGTTATAAACTAAAAAAAAAAATGTATTGTACAAGAGTGATACTTAAAAAGCTTATCTTATTCTATTTTTATTTTACTTTTATACGGTAAAATAAAGGTTTACAATATAATCAATGCAATAGTAAAGAAATTGAAATACACGGTACTTTAAATATTTAAATGAATAAAAACGCCATCTATCGCATTTCCTTAAAACTCGATCGACAGTAGCGATGCAGTACGGTAGCTTACAATAAATATTGGATTGTAGCTATAGTCTGTATCCGTAGCATGCACCTCGCGGCGACAAAGCGTCTATACTCTATATCTATAATAATGACGTCAGGCACGAGTGCCTTAAAAAATAAACGCTTTTGTTTAAAAATACCGTTATTCCGCTTATTGTGTTATTGTTCGCGGTGAGCCATCTGTTCGCATTTTAATGAAACACGCTAAATTATTTGCAATACAAAATATGGCAATTTCGTATTCATATATTTTGACTTCGTTGTTTTATATAAATGTATTGGTGTATATTCAATCAAAAGCAAGCGTCATGGCCAAGATTTTTTATTGTATACAATTAAGTAGTTAAAAAAAAATGTAGACTCTTTTTAGGTATTGTCCGCAGTTTACACGAGTAAACGTAACATTTAAAGTAAAGCACTTTTAACTGTCTAAAACACGGTATATATAATTTAAGCGGGCCGAATTAAAATTACATTAAAACAAGTTGACGAGTATATTTCAAATTTTTAATTAAAATTGCTATAACTGTAATAGTAAGTAAAGTATGTCTAATTGATTTATTTCTGTATTTTAAATATTTGTAACATACTTGTAGTACCTACTCGTGCAAGATACACTAAAGTTACATACACTTCATTCCTTTATAGAAATCTTACATTAAATTATGTATAGCCCGCCTACTCTCAGATATAATGAGGCGTGTTGTGCACTTTCTAATACTCTGCATAAACGCTACATTAGTGTGAAATTCTTGCAACTTCTTCATTAGCTACCCCTTAATTATCTTGAATTAATAAATACACGCGAAGTCATATTTCACCCCAAGCTACTAGCGCCAGTATTCATTTAGTGTCATGTATTATTTAAACTACCCAGAACTCGAACAGTTGTCGATGTCACAGTATAGCTATTTCTTCCGTTTAAATCAGTCGGTAATACAGACAAGTTGATAAAATACCGTCTGTAGTGAACGCGATTAGTTTATATTTGAATGAAACATTTAAAGTTTAAAATGTAAAATATATTAGTTAAACCTGAATTAGATTTTTTTACTATTTAGATACCGTGGTCACGGGGCAAGATGATCAGACGCTGAGCCTTACAGAAGCACAATGTTTCTGTTGGATTTGACTGAGTGGTTCATAATAAGCCTGATGGTAGTAGAAGTAACCAAGCCACTTCTTCTATCAAATTTTAATTGATGTTTGTTGTTAAATAAACAGCTCTTTTGAGAAGCAAACGAATTTAAATTAAAATTTCTTGTATTCTAATCCAAAACAATGCGTGAAGGTCAGTGTCTAATATAGATCCATCGAGGGTCTAATTGACAGACGGGCCGCGGTTTCTTCAATTTAATACCCGGGCCGGATAAACCGGTCCAATAACGGCTAGAAAAGCGAAGCGGAATCAATTACGTGTTAATTAGGTGCGTCCGGGACATGTTTCGTTGTTGTCGTGTTTTCGGCTCGCGTATAATTTTATATATTCAGGTACAAAAAGTTAAAAAGGCACTTTTTATAAAAAAAGGGAAGGTTCTTTTAACTGATCGATTTGGGTATTTATAATAATTCTCGAGGATTCAAACCCGTGTAGTGTTAATTTTCATCGTATAAAAACGTTTTATACAACGTATAAGTAAAAATGATGGTTGTTGAATATTATTAAGATTCCATCGTTTATAACGTAAACAAGATGCTCTGTCGATTTTTTGGCTGTTAGAGCCTTGGAATGTTAGAACATCCGGAAATCCGCCACTGAAACCGAAAAACATACATTTCCATCTGTGGACGGTAATTCGGAAATTCCTACCATTTAATATCCTAATTTTGTTTAACGCTGGTTACTTACGATACTTACTTCTTACTGTCTAAGATAACTAAACATTGTTTGTAAAAGTTAAATGTTTTATTTAAATGTATACTCGCGTAAACTACAAGACAGTATGTATAAAAAATAGTTCTCGTTTTACCCCTTTGAAAATGTTTTATTAAAAGTCTAGTCTGTTCATGTAGGTAGGTATATCATGATTCTTTGTATCAACGCGATTGTGTTGCGTGTCCGTCCAGCGGCTGATTATAGCTAAAGTAATTTATTTTCAACTACGTGAGGAGTAATCGTGGATACTTTCTTTCCTATTACCACCGAGATTGGTTTTCGTATCACTGGCGCTCGTTACATTGTTACGTTATTACGTAAACAAAATTATTTCCTATGATACCTTGTTCGTTGTGGTTTTCCTTCAACACAATATGTATCAGTAAATAGAGCAATCGACCGCTAAGTAGATTTCTATTGTTTGGTGTTTGTTTGTAGTAAGCCTACTTAAACCTACCTAAGGTTAATAAATAAATAAGGTTAATAAATAACGTTTACGTAAGTGGTACAGACTGATACAGATAAACCATACAAAGCCACGCTCGCGAAGTGAACCACCTTCCACGGGGTTCTGTGCTGCTGCTCTAATCAATTGTCTCATTTTTGTTCCATCTAAATACATTGATATAATGCCGTATATATATTGATATAAAGTGTAATAAACATAGGACAAATATTCAAGTTTTCACACTGTTTGTTGTTTAAGAAGAAAATTTAAAAAATTGTAGTTATAAAATTAAGAAAATATTTTTCGCGTAAAAATCTTATTTCCGTTGTTGGCTTAAATAACTATCCTTCAAGTCATAAAACATTCAACATTATATTTAATATTTTTGTATTCGATGCATATCGATAATTCGGGACGCTTGTTCACCTCATAAGTTTTATTATAGAACTAATATATAGTAAAACTGCAAGAAATGCCAAGCCGATTATAACAGTAGTTAATACAAGTGGCGCCAGAAATTACTAGCGATGACTGTGTCGTATATATCTTTGTAACGACGCAAACTAATCAATATTCAAGTCACCGGTAATTATCGCGACAAAACACTGTGGGCGCACATTAGTCGGACCACCCTTCGAGTGCATACGTGGGGTGCATAAGACAAAAGAAGAATGAATAAATGAATTATGTTCTGGCACCGCTATCGTGCCGCCGATGCACGTAGATGGGGCCTTCAGAACTTTTTGGTTCCTCGTTCGCAATTAGCGGACCCGGTGACGTTGTAAGAATAATAATAGTTACAGTTAATCTTTTTAACAAACGCCTGTTAATTCTATGTAAACAACGCAAAATATTGATTAAAAAAATATATATCAAATGTAGAAACTGTAAAAAAAGAATGTTCGAAAATTGACATTAAACCAATGAATTGAAGTTCAAATAACGACAAAAAATATACCTATTATTTCTATTTCTTTGATAGTCTATTCCACTCACTCAGGAACTACTGGTTCGAATTTAAAAAAAACATTTTTTGTCTTGGTTGGGTCTATTTATTTGAAAGGCTATCAAACATCAACCGATAGGAGCGAAGAAACAGAAGGAAATGTAATTAAAACGGTGCAGGTGGTCGGTGGTGAGGAAAATCAAGATACCCCAAAAATATATATAAAATGAATTTTCCTTCAAATTATGTAAAAAATTGCTCGCGAGATTGTATAATACTGTCTATAGTTTACGCGAGTAGTACACATTTAAATAAAACACTTTAACGGTTTAAAACGCGATATATTAGTTAAACTTATTTGGAAATGATTTTTAACTTCGGCCTGACGTTTCGGATACTTCAAAGCATCGACACGACGGTTCGGTAAAGTTTAACTAATATATCGCGTTTTAAACCGTTAAAGTGTTTTATTTAAACGCGAGATTGTATGTCAATATTTTAAGATTAACTCCGTCACATGATAAAAACGTTTGCTACCCTAACTGAGCTTCTACAATATGAATAGAAAATAATTAATGATTTATATAATACAAAAACACACTTAAATTATATCAAATTAATTGAAGAAAATTGACATATAGAAATGGCAGCATTCCTTTAACATGTACAAACGCCGTATGAAAACTTTTACTCATTAATCAGGATTAAGCCTCGCGTCAAATATAATCACATTTAATATCTGAAACATTCCATTTACCGTATTTATAGGCTAGATTACGAGCGTACTGAGTAATCAATCATTTGCTTTGAGCTTACACTTTCTACATTAGGCCTAAGACTTGGACAGACAACATTCAATGGAAATAATCTGCACCTATTTTAATTATTTACCATCTCCTTAGCTCAATTGTTGGCAGTTGGTGCGCGTTACCTAGCATTGCGTTTAGCACGAAGGGTCCTGTGTTAGAATCCTGAAGAAACGATAAATCGTATCGGTTGGACAGGGCACTGAAGTCTAATCAAATTCCTTATAAATAAAGTAAATCAGTAGAAAAAGCTACGGGAATGTATTCGCCCCATGTCCCATTGGCGGAAATGGAATTTCAGTATATAACCGTATATTTTGTGAATGATGTTTCAGCAAGTCAAAGTTTTAAATTAAGATCATTTTATGATAAAAGTTTATGTTTGTCTGTTACGCGAGAAATATGGTTTAGAAACATAATAATTAATTGTCACATCGTAATTTTTGTTTTATCAAATGTAATCATTTTAAATTGGTATGTTATATATCTATACCTAAAAGAATTAAAACCTAACTAAAGTACAGAGATGACAATTGTTTAGATCCCTTATAAAGAATCAAGAATATTCCATTATTTATTTCCCTAATTGAATCAAATAAACGAGACACCGTGTACAATCTAGCCGCAAGATAAACGCCGTATAGAACAATCCCGCAGAGGATCTGAGATCATCTCGCTGGTGTGAAACTGTGCGATGCGATCGTCGTGAACCGATGGCTTCCACGATATGAGCCAGCACGAACCAAGAAGCGGAAACCGACCGACAATGCGACTATAGCTTTCTCTGGATGATAAAAACTTTATGTCGCCGCTGACATGGAAAGGATGCAGTAATTGCAAAACTTTAAACCGTAAAACTTAAACATAATTCGATCTTATCTCGTAGTACAAAATATAATGAAGTAAAGCTTATTTACTTATCAAGTTTTTTTTAAATAGGACAGACAAGCTTGCAGTTCTATGATGGAAGGTGAAACACTCAAGATATACAGCATCTAAGCAAGATACGCATATTTGATATGGACGTAATACTTGGACTGAAACCGTGGTATATTTATAAGAATCTTATAAATGTTATAACAATATGCACATTTAAAATTTATGTTAAATTGTTTACCATGTTAAAAAAGTTTAAGTAAATAAGTTAGCGGAAAGAATAGTACACGTAAAATGTTTTACAGATAAACTAAACGAGATGTAAACCGGATAGAGACATCTGCCTAATATCCTGTCTTAAGTATAAGTAAAAAAATATTTGTTAAGTTGTTAGGTTGCAACGGCTACTAAACTGGGTCCTGGATGTCGCTAAAAAATTATTTATATTTTTAAAAATATATTTCGAAAATTGTAATATACGAATTATCAAGTGTGTTTTTCTGGGTCCACCGCTCACAAATGGCACGACGAAAAATCTGCGTTTCGGTTGCACTTTAGATTTCCGAATGTCAATTGTCGAAATCCTGTCAATAGCGTATCCCGTTGAAATGTCATTTCACCTTCTATCAAGTGAATCCATCCTTTGTCTGTGCATGGGTCTTAGAACATTTCTTTTCGAACTTCATTATCGTTTCGCAATTGTAAGTTCGTCTCAGGCCCCTGAAAGTGGCAATGACCGGTCGGTAAAAGCTAGATGGGCTCCCGATTGCGTCTGAGCAGGGATCGATCGCCTTTCTCTCGCGCTAACAAATGAGTCGGGATGTAACAGACGTGATTTATATATTCAAATCCGATACTCGGATGCAGGTCACGTCTGCCGTTCGTTTGTATTTGAGGCACGAACCGAGGTGTTGCTGATCTGCGATATTCTTGAACTAGTTATAGAGTTCGAAAGTGCATTTATTATTTATGAGCTGTTAGTATTATTGCAAAAGGTTATCTGCAATTGTTTTATTGTTTTACTGCGTTGTAAATGTTGCTCTGCGTTCGTTTTAAATCAGATCTACTTCGTTAGTGCTGTCTCGACCTTCGTTCAATTTTCTCTTTGTAGATTACAGTTAGGCAAGCGGTTTTTGCCCTTACTTTCTGACAATACGCAAGCGAGCGCTGGTCTCATAGAAATGCGTTTATCACGCGTTACGACGCTTACCATTGTAGAATGTCATAGTAGTTATCTCTAAGCTTCATACATAGTGTTAATTAGCCTCATACATTATGTACATTTTACATTATTACATGGAATCTGTCGAATATTGTTATTAATAAGGCATCGTCTTTCGCGCATGATACGTGATGACCTGACCTAATAAACATCTTTACACGACATAACGTGATCCAGGTAGGTATATAAGACGAGAGCATAACAAAATAAAACTTCAATATTGTGAATTCGAGGAATGTTGTTAGAAATCGCGAAATGAGCGTAACCCTTGTTGACCCCACGTCCAGCGTTACAAGTACGGCGAGTGAGAATTTCGCAAGAGTACCCCAATCGGCCATTATCAGTTACAATTGGAAATAACCCGCAAATTCATAGGTTGATGAGCGCTGTTTGGAGTGATTGCCAAAGTTCAGTCACGAGCGGATAATGTTGGTTTCGGCGTTAGTTGGTGTAATGATATTTGTATGTGAGTGACTATGACTAATTTCATCTTGCATTAACATTTGTATTGGAGGCTTCATTTCAAGACAGGTGTAACAGTACATTATATATGAAATTCTATAATGTATTTGAATTTATACTTGGTACATGTACCCAGCATATACCTAAAATTTAATTTGTAAAAGTTTGAGAAACTATGACATTGCAGAGACTAGGATCTACGGCTAATACGTACCAGGCTCTTATTATGTAAAAAAAAAACATTAGTTTACTTGGCTCTTGGTTATGGTTTCGACTGTTATTATTCTCATATTTAGTATTTTTACATTCAACACGCACTATAGAAATAAAAGTATTTAAACGTGACTGTTTGCAACTGTCTGGTCTGACAGACAATGCTATTAAATAATCGCAATTACAGACAACAAAACATCCTTTGTCTGCGTATTATCCTGACATTACGCGATTAGTGTCAGGGGTTCCCGAACCCCCACTTGTTGCAGCAAAAGGGTTGTCGTTTTTGCAATTCAAATCTTGATAAACTATCTGCACCCCTGTTTCATGTAGTGTATCTTTGTTTGTTTATTTATGAATTTCGACAACTCGATTTTATAGCTAAAGGAAACATTTAGTTTTATTATGGGCTATGTAGCTGAGTCTAAATATGTACTATATATTATTTGGTAGATGTTAAGGAACCCCAGTAAGCAAGTGACGTCGTCATAAACTCGACCAATCAGGAGCGTTTTGTATCACGTGACACATGTTTGAAAATGTATTTTTTTTAACGTATGTGACTGTTTTACTATGTCTAAACTTATACTTGATAATAATAACACAGGACACGATAATACAACTGATTAAACTGTACTTTCTCAAAACTATTTATTGTACTTCTATACTTGCTCCGGTCTCCCGGACAGGAAATCCACATGACGAAGAATTGATACTTTGAGGGTAAAACATGTTATATTTACCTCTTGGTTTTTGGAGAAAGCGGTAGATTTCAAAGCATACCTACTATTAGAAGACTGGATAAATGTCTGATGAAGTTGACAACTTTGAGAATTTTTTGATCACTTTTCCACGCTGAACCCATATTTATTTTTCGTTATACCAAAGTTATCAAAATAAAATGGATACTTAGCACTAAGTCCTGCTGTCTATGTACGTATATAATTAATGTCACACCATACAAGAAGTAGTACTACTGGATTAATCTCGTGTAAGCCGTTAACACAGCAATTAATTGGTAAGGGCGCAGACGTGTCGCAAGTCACAACACTGCCTAGATAATTCTAAAGTTAGTCATCTGGTTGCGATAACGGTGGCAAAGTTAACACATAGAAAAGCCTAGTCTTAAACATCACTTTGTGATCTTTAAAAACGACTTGGACCTGGGTTCGAATTCCGTGAACTCTAAAACTGTTTTGGTTCTAGATTAACTAAAATCACACAATGAATAAAAATATGTACTTACTTTACTTTTTACTTTTGCTTTACTTACTTACTTAGTTTCATAACAGTTGTTTTTACGAGTAGAATAATTAAAAATATGAAACAGATAAATCAGTAAGGTAAGAATGTTTATTTATTTATTTATACAAGGCTCACCAACTACATACATAATTAAACTTACAAGATCTATTTCTAATAATAATTATTACTACTTATGTATCTAACTTGAAGGTATGCACAACTTTAACTATATATATTAAATAAAGATTAAAAAAAGAAACATTTTTACATAACAATTAAAACTACAGACAAAGGTAGGTAAAGGTAGGCATTAAACAAATAATAAAACAACTAATTTAAATTTATGGATGGTAAAATTTCTACAACTTTTCTTAACGAATAAATCTAATTGATCCAATTTAAAAACACAGTTGTACAATTTACACATCGCCTGAATGGTTGAATTTAAACCATAGTTATTTTTACAATGTTTTATGTGCAGAGGACTAAAGTTAATAATTCTACAATTAAATGATGGGACGCAAATTCCGTTATGTTGTAGAAGAGATGGGCAATCAATGTGGTTATTTAACAAGTTGTGGAGGCATGTTAACAGTGCAGCATTTCTACGTACCTCTAGTGATTGGATTTTTAGCTCTCTCATTCTATCTTCATATTTCTTTATGTGGTAGATTTTATCAACGTAACTGAGCCTGGAGACGAACTTCTTTTGAACAGACTGAACTCTGGTTATATATTTCTTATTCTGAATTATATTCGAGGACAGGTCTTACTAAACAATTAAACAATAATTTTTAAGGAAAGAGTTCATTTAAAATCTTTAGTGTTTCGAAATATAAAGCCAAGCATTTTTAAAACCTTTTTTATCACCTTTCAACTGTTTAAAACGCGAATTATATTAGTTCGCTTACATCAGTCGTAGTTAAACTAAATTAATAATATATTTCGCGTTTCAAACCGTTAAAACTGTTTCATTTATAGACGTCATTAAAAGTAGTTTCGGTTCCCTCGATTTATAGAACCCTATGCTTTCCACTTATCGACACAAGTGATAACGAAGCAACCGATGCACGTGAAATGCCAGAGGCAGGTTATCTGATGTCAGATGGATAGCTAATGAAGCCGTAGTCCATTAACGAGCCCGTCATTAGCGACAATCTGATTCGTGAAGTTAATTTAATGGCTATTTGCGGGTAATAGCGGGAAGATGATTTCTCATGAGGACCACGAAGGAACAGTTTAAAATACACGTCGTGAGAGATTATATATTTGTGGCACTAGCTGTGCCCGTGCCCGCAACTTCAAAAGTATAATTTATTTTTCAAAATATGAATAGTGCTTTACCTCACGACATCGTCCGCGTCCTCTCGTGTCGTTCTTGCGAGTCAATCTTAAGAGACAGACATATACTGACGCGGACATTTTATGATCATTTAAAGAAGATTTTTTATTTCATTCCCGTATACTGGTTTTTTCCACATTTCACTTAGCTTTTTTGCTCCTATTGATTGCAGCCTGATGTTTTATAGCCTAAAGCCATCTTCGATAAATGTTCCATCCAACAAACATCTGTATTAAAAAATCTTCATGTATAATATTAATATAGAATTTTGATTAAATTACATTATTTATATCAATTGAGAAAAAAAATGATATTGTTGATACCGGTCGAGTTTTCTAAAAAACTTACTTTTTTTAAAACAATCTAGTGTATAACAAAACTACATAGCTACTACGTACAAGGTAGAAACCCACCCACACAATCGTCCCTACGCTTTAGAAATGCAATGGGGAATTAAATGCACTTGCACCTTCCCCCTTTTATAAAATTGGCGATGTTTGGTCGCGGAATAAGACCGTAAAACTGGATGAGACTAGATATATTTATATACAAATAAAGTAATATATACTAATATTATAAAAGTAAAGAATTTGTTTCAACGCGCTTATCTCATAGGTTGGATAGAAAAATTGCTGAGCTGTTATATACGCTGTAAAGAAACAGTAAAAAATGTAAAAATGACAGACATTTTTAAATAATCTCGGAAAAACATGGTATAGTAATCAATTTTCGAAATCTATGCATTATTTCCAATTTTCAATTAATCATGTAAACATCAAAACCCCGTTTGCCGGATCAGCTAACTCTCTAATAATCACGTAATGCACCAAAATTCTATAAATCTAATTATTTTTAGTTTACTTAGTAGTGAACACTTTTGATTGTAAATGTTTCATATATACAAAGGCTTGCTAGTTTCAGAGTATTCTATTGTTCTTGTTACCTATCAAATTTTTATTTATTGACTCTTAGCCACTTCCATATTTCAATATCTTTATAAATTCGCCCCTGTGTTGTACAGAATAGAACAATTTAAGGGAGTCTTCCCCGCATTGCTACGCTGTACGATCTTCATAGGGTCTTTTATATACTACTTTCTTTAGATAAAAAATGACGAAAGTTAATTATATATATAATTTTGCTTTTCCTTTACGGATAGACGAAATAATACTATTTGTAGAAACAATGAGATTAAGAATAAAGGCGTAATTTTTCCTTGGTTTAAATTGTGAAGTTTAAAAAAAATCCGTAGTCTAAAGAACTAGAAAAATATGCGTATCACCATATGAAATATCAAGTTGGTGGAGCAAACATTCTACTGCCTCTTTGTTATGTTGATAAAAACATTAGTCTGTAAATTACAGGGTTTGAAGCCAGGGTTGTGCGGGATCTTTTAATCTTTACATTAAATCCGGAATTGGAAGGTTGTATTGGCAATTCCGTATATCCAAAGCCAAAAAAGGCCGACAGCGCATCTTGTTTAGATGTTATATGACTGGGGTTTTTTACCTCCCATCAAGTGTACCCCATGATTGTCTGTCATCCTCTATACTAAAATAGCTCGAAGAGCATCGTACGGTTATCATCACCTATTTAGTAATTGCAGTCTATCAAAGGCGAACTCGTCCTGGAGGAATATGGTGGGTTTTAAGGGATAAGACGGTCGCCCAGCAGTGATTATTAATAGATTCAAATAACGAATCGTATGTCGTCGGTAAACATAGATCTAGCCTGCCATTACTAGGAAAGATACACGAGTTTGATAGTCGGGTGTACATCAGATATCAAATAATAGCACTGCTGTTATCGAATGCAAACAGAGATGCATGTTTCTGTGCGCGATAGCTTATCACAGGCAAACAACTGATATTTGATACGGTGGAGGGACTGTTCTCGAAAGAGGTATTAGAATTTTATTCAGCACTAAAGCAACTAATTTACCTATTTGGGTTATCGGATACTATTGAGGCTTTATTCTAGACCTGACGCTCTTCTAGCAATGGCGGGCAAGCGTTTAACCCATTCAAGACCACGAGATGGGTTAGACTAAATATGTGAGTACAACACAATATTTTAGCTATTTTGGGTGTAAAGTAAAAGATCACTAGGATAACAGGGTGTATAGATGTTCTATAATTTCATACGGTTAATTTTGAAATTCATAAAAAAATATCAATTCATAAAAAAAATTGTAGAAGGGAAGCGTGAGACCTTAGAACCATGAAATAGGACTTCTGCTTCTTTCATAACTTTCATAAATCTTCGAAACTTTTACTTTTAGACTATGTGAAATGTTACATAACACACAAACACATGTTACATAACACACAAACATTACAGAATATCAGTATCGAAACATTTTATTTATTTATTTAAAAAAAGGCCCGCCAGCGGGTATTACAGAGTATGAATATATAATATTGACAATATAAAGAGTATAGCTATCTGCATATCCTATTTAAGGTAGGCACTACATGCATTAAACAGACATGGTGTGTGGTACAACAAAGAATATTATAGGTACAGTATTAATAATCTTAATAATAAATTACAGTCTAAACAGAGTGAGACAATCTTAAAGGTCTAAATCTAAGGTACAATTATTTAACTAAAAATAGGTAAATACATTTCTTCATTTTTTTGTATTCTTATTAAGTTTTTTAACATTAGTACTTATTAGTATTTTCTACGTATGCTGAATGGCTCCATTTGAATAGATCGGTAGTATTATATTTTATCTCTTATTTAGTTAATTTATTATTAATAATATTAAATCATTTTTCACTTTATAATTTAAAAAATTAAATTTTCTTTCGGTAGCTCAATTGGTAGAGCAACAGCACGGAACGCTGACAATGCTGGTTCAAGTCCTGCCCGAGTCGAAAAATTTTTCAATTTATTTTCGATTTTTAAATTATGTAGCGCCTTGATGTCCAATAACATGTGAAAAATATTATAGTTTTCTTATTTAGTTATACATACTTTTTTATTTACTATAATTTTAATGTTAGGTAGTTCTGTAATTTAAGGTATTTTTAATTTAAAAAACTGATGGCACAGGCAGTTCAAGTTTCGAGTCATATTTGACTGTTCATTTAACTGACTGTTTAAACGTAACTGAAGCTTACGTTTTGGTGTTTTCCGTAACTTTCTGTAACTATAGTTTGGATGTACAAAAAAATACAAAACTATAAGTACTTACTTAGCAAATATTTGAATTACCTACTTCAATTTAATCAATAGCACGAAATTTCGTGACAGGGACCAATTTGGTTGCA